CGTTGCGGTACCAGCCAATTGAGTGATTCACTGGCCGCGACGCGACCGCAGACGCTAGCGAATCGCGCGATTCGCAAAGTCTGACATCGGCCTTTGGCGGCAATCCGGAGGCGCCAAACTCAATACAAATACAATACCTAAACTATCAACAAACTAAACTAAAAACTACAATACAAATATAATACAATACCTGAATGAAGTCATCTCGGGAACGCATATGGCCTGTTGTGTAGGTAGGTGACATCGAGCTTACCCTAGGATCTTCTTTAATTCGTCGATGCTTTAGTGATACTCGTAGTAGCCCATCGTCTTCAGTAGACTCCACGGAAAATAACCCACTTGCTTTAACACGGGAAAATAAGGTGGCCCCTCGTTCAATGGCATGAATTCGGAAAATTCTGCAAAACCAATGTTGCACAATATTTGCTTTGTGCACAAGCGGTCTACCTTGCTGTTGTGTCTAGTGATTTCTCTCCGGGGTCTCTTCAACCAGGTGCATTTATTAGGTTCGAAGGAAATCGAGATGTTTGGTTAGCGCTCTTGTTACCGTAATTTTTGCCCACCCTGTATATTGCAAAAATTAGTCATCACCGGGGATCGAACTCTGGACCATTTCTTCACCACTGTTTTGACATTCCTGGAGGCGTTCAGGAAAAATGGATCATGGTTCTGTGTTCCTCGCATGAGCCCTACAACATGCAGAAAACCATTTCGCACTCCCTGTCCTGAAAGAACCTCCTTGTTAGTGGTCAGTGTTAGTCCTCCCAAACATAACCGCCGACTTACTCGCTATTCCGACTTGCTCACTATTTCCCCAACATTTCTCGCTGCTCTCTACGGTCTCTTTGCTTACGTTCCGATGCGTCGTTTCGGATCTGAGGTTGTCTTTGTAAGCGCATCTCATCAGAGGTGGTTGTATAGATCTTTCTACACAAAACCGTTTCTCTGGTGTTGCAACAGTAAAATTTATGTAGAATTATAACCACCTATTTGGTAACTTTTAATGATTCCAATCTTTGAAGAAGAACCTCCTCGACGGAATCGTGAATCCCGGAGAACGTTCTTGACCCTGTTCCAGAATGTGTGGCATCATTGGACTGGTGCAGGCCGAAGGCGTGGAAGTGGACGGAGCTCTTTCTGTTCTTGCCGCTGACGCACTCACTGCGCTTCAGCACAGGTCGGTGTTCACCCCAAGCTCCATGTTATTAATTACTGTAATTCAAGAAAGATAGGATCTTTATAAACAAAATAACTTGAATAGTTCGTTTCGCTCCTTCCTCAGGCGAACCTTATTATTCCGTCAACCTGAAGATCATCAGGAGTTGGGATTGGCGAAATAAAGACAGGGGAAAGCGAAAAATTGGTAACCCTTGCCGGGATGGTAATTTCTCGAAAATATTGTGAATGAAGAGGCAAAGAAGCCAAATTGAGAAATGAGATTCCAAATAATGACCATTTCCTAAGTTTCTTCTCAAATTTTTGATATTTTTGGCTGTTTAGAGGAACAGAGTCAGCCGGACTTGTCGGATCCGACGGCACTGATCGACAGCATTTAGATATCGTCAAAGGCCAGGGGCTTGCAAGGGATGTGTTTGTGGAGGAGAAACTATGCAAGATGTCCGGTGAGCAAGGCTTTCTCTTGTTAATCTTTTCCCTTGAATTCGTTTGATAAAGGAAGTTCATCATAAAAGCACTGATGATAAAGAAAATTCGATGTGCCCGCTTCGAATGGAATTTCTGTTCTGTATCATCCTTGAAGAAGGGATTATAGGGTCAAGGATCATCATCGGCCATAATCGTTATTCTACGGCCGGCAAAAAGAGATATGCGATTAACTGCGTGCAGCCGTTTGTCGTCTACACTGCCATAGGAATCGTGGCGATAGCACATAATGGAGAGCTCGTGGATGTGAAGAAGAAGAGGAAAGAGGTATGCGGTGGTTCAGAAATAATCTTGAGTGAGGCGCTTACTAAAAGGTTCCCAGATCATTTTTGCTGCGCCGCAGAACCTGAAAAATTCAGCCCTCAAAGGTATTATTTCACTATTAGGGCTAACCGCTACTAATACATCCCGCTAATAAAACGTTGGTTATTCTGCTGGAAAATGAAAAAAAATGCTAAGAGAGATAGTGTGCCTAGTAGAGAGAGTACGCGAGAAAGCATGCCGTGCGAGAGGAAGCAGACACCGCGCCGTTACATCGCGAGCAATGAGAGCAGTTGTCAGTTCCTCCAAAATGGATCACTAACAGGGCTCCGGCGTGGGCTTTCGAGCTGTAGAAATGGCAAAGTGAAGCGGTCTCTGTGCTTGTAGACCCTCCTACCCATAGAAGGGCTTCTTCTGAAAATTGTTTGCGAATTATGCTTTCAAGTCGCTCTACCCATCAATTCACCAATCACTAATCGACACTTAATCAACCCTCTTTGAAGGTGCTTCACGAAGGCGTTGGCCTATCCACGGACACAGATTCGGAGTTGATTGCACAAATGGTGGCGAAGGCAATAGCTCTCAACTACAAGTGTCGTTCTGACCTCGACTGGGGTGATATTTCCAAGGTATGAGCTACTGATACAACTGATAAAATGCTTCGGTAAAAATGATAATTCCCTATGTGATTTGTTCCGCCTCTTGCTCTCCTACACACAGCTCGAGAAATGAGGAGTCGGAACTTTATACATAGTCATTTTCTCGGAACTTGAAACTTGAGAAAACCACTAAAACGATTCTATGTGGTTAAGAATTAGTACGGTATTTCGTTGTCCTTAAATTGATATGGAATAATTATTTTCAGGAGCTTGCGGTGACGATGTCGTCGCTGAATATGTCTTACTCGTTGGTGGTGATGACTTATGATCGTTTGTATGCCATACGCGACCCCTATGGCAACCGTCCACTATGTGTCGGTACAATTTACGATAACGAACGTTAGTTCATGCCTCTTCTAGCACATTTTATCGACTACAGAAAGATATACGGGCCATTT